TTTTTAAATTTTTAATGTTTATTTTTAAGAGAGAGAGAGAGAGAGAGAGAATGAGAATGAGTGGGGGAAGGGCAGAGAGAGAGGCATACAGAATCCGAAACAGGCTTCAGTCTCTGAGCTGTCAGCACAGAGCCCAACTCAGGGCTCGAACTCACCAACCATGAGATCATGACGTGGGACGCTGAGCCGACTGAGCCACCCAGGTGCCCCCATAGGTAGTTATTTTTAATTGAACACCAGACATTATAAATGATACACTGTTGAGAGTCTGGATTCTGTTTTATTTCTCTAAGGTGATTTTTTTTTTCTTTTTTGGTCATAAGATGGCTATTTTGTTTTATAAGGTGCTCTAAAAGTGATTTTTCATGTAGCGGGCATTTGTTTTGTCTGATCTCCACCTCCCTGCTCTCTCCTTTGTGGTGTGTAGCTGCTGAAATCTCTGGTCACTACTCCTTTGCTGGGTCTCCCGGGATCTCCCCCATGCACGTATAATTTAGCAGTCCATCACAGATTTCAGCAAATTGAATCAAGCACGCACTTTGGGGCTGCCCTGCAAATCTTTCCTATTGAAGCTCGTCTTTTAACGATAACGTCCCCTCTAGTTTCCGCCTTTGGTTGCTCTCCAGTGCTCTTAAATGGTTGTTTTTAATTTTTTTTCTTCAAGATTCTGTAGTTGCTATGTGCAGGATGGTAAGTCAGATCAAGCTGACTGTGTTATTACCAGAAGGCTTGGTTCTTTTCTATAGTTTCCATTTCTTTGATGAGATTTCCTCTCTGTTCATTCATTAGGACTCTATTTCCTTTTAGCCTTTGAGCTGCTTCAAAGGCTTTTTAATGTCTGGTAATGCTAACATCTGGCTCTTCTGTGGGTTTGTTTCTGCTGACTGTTTTTCTTGACTGTGGGCCACATTTTCCTATTTCCTCTCATGTGTATGAATTTTTTTCTAGATCTGTGTTTTTGTTTTTATTTTTTTGCAACATTAAGTTTTTAATTTTAATTCCAATATAGTTAACCTATAGTGTTATGTTAGCTTCAGGTGTACATTCTAGTGATTGAGCAATTCTATACATCACCCTGTGTTCCGTGTTCCTCGTGGTAAGTGTACTGTGAGCTTTTTATTGTCTGTTGTTAGCAACCCATGAAACATTGTAGACACTCTGGGTTCTGTTATTTTCTTCTGAAGAGTGTTGCCTTTGTTCTAGCAAACAGTTCAGATTCTCTTCCCTCTGCGATAGTCAGCAGCTGAGACTATTCAGTTCCTTCTGCCTTTGGGCAATTGCTTTTCCCTGTGAACCTCCCCATCTCCTCTGGGTATGCACGGTTTTGAGTTCAGCCAAGAATTAGAGGAGTATTTAATCACAGACCTGGGGGAGCGGGGCTTGCCCTTTTTGACCTTTCTCCTTCCTTCCTTCCTTCCTTCCTTCCTTCCTTCCTTCCTTCCTTCCTTCCTTCCTAGGATTTCTGCCCTCATTTTTCAATGGCTCTGGCAACCTCCCTCTCTGTTCTCTGACTTTTCAAGCCAGGAATGCTGTACTTTTTGCTTGAGGTCCAGTTACACTGTGTAGCAATGCAGAACGGGGTGGGTCAGGCCTGGGCAGAAAAGCAAGGTGCATTTTTGTGGAGCATGGCTCCTTCTCTCAAGGATCTGCTCTCCTGTAGTTTCTACCAGCCCTTGATCATTTCCCAGTGGCAGCCAGTCATTTTCGTTTTACTTTAATTGCGGTACAGGTAACATACAGTGTAATGTGAGTTTCAGGTGTACAATATAGTGATTCAGCACTTCCATACATCACTCCGTACTCATCGTGGTAAATGTCCTCTTCATCCTCATCACCGATTTCACCTATCCCCCCACCCACCTCGCCTCTGGTGACCACCGGTGCCCTCTGCAGTTAAGAGTCTGTTTCTTGGTTTGCCTCCCTCCCTCTCCCTGTCTCTTTTTTTTTGCCTTTGTTCATTTGTTTTATTTCTTAAATTGCACACATGAGTGAAATCATATGGTAATTTTCTTTCTTCGATTGGTTTATTTCATTTACCATTATACTCTCTAGCTCCATCCATGCTGTTGCCAATGGCGAGATTTCATTCTTTTTTATGGCTGAGTAATAGTCCATTGTGTGTGTGCTGCCTTCCATAATTTGGCAGTTGTGAATAACGCTGCCATAAACATAGTGTTTATAGTGTTTGAATGAGTGTTTTTGTATTTTGGGGGTAAATACCCAGTAGTGTCATTACTGGATCGCCAACAACTGTTTTTCTACTCTGACCAGCTGTTATGTACTTCCTACCTCACCACTGCTGGGGTTGGGTCACGTTAATTAATCTCTCCGAGTGTTAGTTTCTCTATCTGCAGAAATGACGATAAATGATGCCCAGGTCATAGGGTTTAGGGAAAGGAAAGTGAGTTAACACACACAAGTTGTTCATTTATGTTTTGGACACATGCTAGGTACCTGGCAAATGGCAATGCTTGAGCTTCAGACAGACTCTTATCTGAGGAAATCTTAAGGGATATTTGGCCTTCTACCGATCATATTACTAGGCAGAACTCAAAAGAAAGCGTTCTCCACGTTTACTTCCTGGGTATCTTGGCCGTGTTTTGAATATCAGCTTCTGGAGTTTACTGGGAGCTGTGTGCAGTATGTGAGCTGTGGTGTGTCAAGTGACTCTGCTTTTTCTCTTGCTTCTAGATCATCTGCAAACTGGCTTCGGTGCTGAACAAGAGCACAGTTGAACGCCTGCTGCTCCCTCGATTCTGTGAATTGTGTGGGGACGGGAAGCTCTTTCAAGTTCGGAAGGTTGGGACACGGAGTTTCGAAACCCAAAAAATTCCAACAGTTGGAGAATTCAAAATCGATTCCTTGGCAGTTTCTCGGCTGCTTTAGTAGACGCAGGCTGGAAGAAAAATGTGGCCACTGGGAACCACGTGAGGAGAGCCTGTGCACAGCGTTGCCCGTGTTGGCTGCAGCTAGGGGTGCACGCAGGGACCTGGAGACGGGTCCTGCGTGAGGCAGCCCCCTACTCTTAGTCGCAGCAACACGAGCAACGGGACCTCACTGACTTGCAGTTAGGTGCTGTGCCCTAACATGCACGGCCCTTCATGAGCTGCGCCCCTTTGTTCCAGAACCCTCTTAACCTTTGCCGTACCTTCCAACTCCAACCCCTGCCCTCCCCCTTCCCTTTCGGTGGCTTGTTCGCTTGGTTACCAGATTCTTCCTCTCCGAGGCCGTTGCCACGCCTCCCCAGACAGCCTCCTCCTCCTCCTCCTTGCTGCGTCACTGGCCATCTTCCCTCTGGTCTCTCCTTGTGACGCATCGGCAAGAAGAGAGGTCTCATCTATCACGCAGAGAATATTCGGGGTCTCTTTTGCTTTATTGCTCACCAAATGCATTATGTATTGAGATCAGTTGGGAGCCAGAAAGTCCTAGAAGATTTGGTACTCTGTTTTAAGTCTTCTGTTTCCAACGCACCAGGGGCACTGGGCTGGGCCGTGTGGGCGGCAGGCTCAGTAAGTGCTTGTCAGGTGCCTGACTAGAGGAGTCATTGCCCTCGAGGCTTCTGCTCGTTAGTTGTCACGATTTGGTAAGACAAAAAGAAAGCTGAGGATAACAGGTATGCCTTTTGCCTTTTTAAGGTGTGTGCTACAAATTTTGGTGATATTTGTCATGCCGTTGGACAAGAAGCCACTGAGAAATTTCTGGTATGTGAAGTTTTGCCAGTTGTAACTGCTGATGCACTTCTTAGGGCACTTTTAAAATCAAGCGTGAAGTTTTGTACTTATGAATCCGTTACTTCGGAATGACAGCTCAGTTTTGCATTCATGCGTTCCAAATTTCTTGACTTCTGAAGCTATAACCTTTTCCCATAAGTGTTAGGCAGCTGGCCCATGGAACGGAGCGGAAGCAACCCCAGCCCACTTTACTGTGGCCTTTTGCTGTCACTTCCTCACTG